ACTTTCCTAAACGAGGATAAGGACGTCCGCGTAAAACCCCGGTAACCGACGATATTAAAACGCCGGAAGTACTAGCTCCTACGCTACTATTAGCTTTAAAAGATATAAACCGCCTTAAAGTACGGAAAAGCGTCCGTCTCCTTACTAAAGACCGTAGAATATTCGACGGACTTATCCTAATAAACGCCTCCGCTACTACTTACGACGAGGTATTAGTTAATTTCGTTATATTCGATAATAGCGAAGCCTAGTAGGATAATAGCCTATACGCCGTCGTAGTATATATCTAATACCGCGATAAAATCTAGTAAGATATAGTCGACTCCGACTAAGAACGCTTCGGAAACTCCTTTAACCTAGACATTCCTAAAACCTAGTTAATTACAAAGCTTTACAGGCTTCTCTAATTCGATAGATTCCTATAATTACGGGAAGACGATATACGCCGGGTTTACGAAGAAATAAATATACTAATTAATAACGCCGGACCTTTCGGCCTAGAAATTAAAGGCCTTTCCGAAAGACTCCTACCTTATATTACGTTACGCTATAGCGTATTTATCTATAATACAGAGAATTCCAGCCCTACTTTTATCGATAAACTATAACTTACGATACGTTTTGTAATATAAAATAACGAAAGGATTAAGGAACTCGCCTAGTAATAACTATTTACCCTTACTAAGGTTTATAGGACGTAATACTTTATATTCGTATAAGCTTTCCCTAATATATTAGTAATAAACTTAACGAACCCTAGTAATATAATATACGTTAGTAAAGCTACGCCTATAAATAATTAGGCTTTTAAATTCTAATCCCTCGTATCCTAGACTATATTAGGCTAAGAAACTCCTAGCGTAATAAATAGTAACCCGATAACTCCCGTACCTATATCGTATTAAGATAGTATCCCGCTTTAATACTACGTTAACTTCTAAACCCCGACCTCCGAGTAAAACCCCTATATATAAATAAGTACTCCCTAAAGTAGTACCGTAGGAATAGCCCGGAGATTAAGGAACCGGAGAAGCCGTTACCGCCGGACCCCCGGAGCCGGTTAAATAGGTACCCTGTACCTACTATACTATTACCCGGACGAAATCTTAGACGCCGTCCTTTACCCTATCTTTTAAATAGAAATAATCGGCCTTCGTACCTTCCTTTTACGTTAAACGGGCTCCTAGATAAGCCTAAACAGCCCTAGTACCTACCTAATACCCTACTACCAGCCGGTAAGCTAGGAATTTAAACGTACTTATAGCCTACTTAAATACTACTTCGGCTTTAGATTTCTTCTACTTCCTTTCTTCTAATAATAACTAACTTTTATACTTTATAACCCTTTTAACTACTAGGTCTACCTTTAACTTTCTACTTACCGTAATAAGTAAGTACCTCTTCTAAAATAATAAACCGTTACGGTATAAGCCTAAGTAAATAATCTATACTTACCTTACTTCTTCTCTTCCCCTCCTATAGCTTTTAGCTAGAACTACCCTAGACTATACATTACGATAACTTCTTCCTTTTCTACCGTACCCGGAACTCTATAGTATAACTTATAACTACTCCTTACTATAAGTAGCTATAAGTAGTAGTAAGACTGCGCGAGAAACTATAAGGCCGGTACCCTTAAGGGTAATTTCTCGGCCTCGCTTACCCTACCGGGTAATACGTCGCTCCTATACTTCCGGCTAAAGCCCTTAACGTAGATATCTAGAGTAAACGAGTAGGTAACGGGTTATACGGATAAGTAGCGTCGTAAACTTATTTATATTATTTTCTTCTACCCGTAGTACCGTAATACTTTATATAAGCTTTACTTAATAATCTATATTCGCGGTATCTATAACTAGTTTACTCTCTCTTTAATAAATGTTAAGGCTTTACTAAACGGTAAGCCGGGAGTAGCTTACTACCCCGAATTTAGTAGCCTCGCTTCCTTAAAGCTACTTATTAAATTCCTCCGCTTACCGGAGGCTACTAGCCTAAAGGACGTCGTTTATAAGATAAACGCCTAGTATACTAAGAACCGGCTCGAGATAGGTTAACTTTACAAGTATAGCGATAAGGTAGCCCGTAAGTTAATCCTTAAGTTTAATAACGACTACCTAACGAAGTAAATCGGTATTCCCGTATAGGTTAAGAACGTCGTTATCGATATTATAAGCGACTCCGACTTATTTACTATCGCCTTACCTATTATTAGATACCGCGCTTTAAAAAAGGCCCCCGCCGTAGGTATTATCCCGTAACCTATAGTTATTAACGTTAATAACGCCGACCCCTTTATTCCCTCTAACCTTTTTATCTTTTACTTACTAAGAGTTAGTTACGTTAATATTTATAGAACTTTTATATAGTTAAAGCCTTTATCTACCCCTTTCGTAAACCGTCGGACGGCTATTAGTAAGTTCCGGATAAAGTTAATACCTTTTAAGCCCTATTAGCCGTATTACCGCTCTTATATCGTATATATAAACGGTATTACTATTATTATACTATAGTAAATATACCGACTTAGCTACGGTATCTAAGCCTATATAAAGGTCGAGAAGCTCGCCCTAAGTAGTATAACGTTATCTCTAAAGCTTACCGATAACTAGATCGCCTCGGTATATATTCTCTTAGGATATTACTAGGATTTCGGCTTTAAGAATTTCGGCGTTATTATAAAGTAGCTAGGTTACGAGCTAAACTTCCTTACGGTTATTATTAACGACTTACGGCTAAGAGTTTAACGCTTTAACGGAATAGTTAATAACTATGTTAAAGCTCTCCTTACGCTCGTTTAAGAGATCTCCCGACGTATAATCGCCGTCTCTATAGCTATAGTAAAGCCTAAGAGCCCTACGCGTAGTATTAAGTAAGAGGACGATAGTATTATATTAGATAACGAGGTCCGTAAGGCTTTCGCTAACTCCCCTAGCCTCGCCCGCGTTACCCGCCGCTAGGCCTTTTAAACGACCCTATAAACTAATACCCCCTCGACTTATCTTAATAACTTATAACTAAATAACGCTCGCCGTCTCGTATAGTAAACTCCTACGTAAAGGCCTCGTATAACTCCTAAGGCTTATAAAACCGACCTACGCGAAGAGTAAAACCCCTTCTAGTATTAGAAGGGTTAAGGAGAGACGGAAGGGAGGAAAACGGGTAGGAAAAGGTAGGAAAGGGTAGGCGATAGGATATTACTAAAAGGATATAAGGGAATACGGATAGGGATATAAACGGGAGTATAAAGCGATATTTTCTTTTCCTTTTTTATATATTATTTTTCAAAGTATTTTCTCTCGACCTTTACCTCGGCGGCCGAGATACTCTTAATCTTATTATCTACGTTAATTTTTTCTTTTTAAGACCCGGAGTTATAAAGGGCCGTAACTTTTTCTTTTTCCCGGGTACTATTATATATATAACGTAGAGAGTTATTAGGGCTAGGTATTATTAGATATCCCTTATAAAAAGGATATCTCCTAACGCCGAGAGGGAGTCTTCTATTTCCTCTCCTTATCGATCTTTACCTATACCTTTATACTATTACTACTAGAGTCGTAAGTAATCGCCTCGGAACCTATATTCTTATCTCCTAGCCTCTATTATCCCCTTCTACTACGCCGCCGTCTTTAGAGCTCCTAGACTCTAAAGTACCTTTACTACCTCTACCTCTACCAGACTTTAGTCCGCTATTTACTAGACTCCGTCTCCTAGAAGCGCCCTTACGGCTCCGTATCTCCCTTAGGGGATCCTAGAGTCCCCGGACTACCCGACTTAGGGTATCTGCCCTTTCGCCAGGAGCCTCCTCGGCCCTTACAGGCCTTGTTAGCTATCTCCCGGCATCAGCTATACAACAGGAGTAATCGAGCTAGAATAGTTTAGTTAGAAGATAAAATATACTAACGAGATAATAAATATAGACGTTATTAAATATAGTATTCTGTATAATATATAGAAAGAATATAATAGATCCCTTAATTAATAACCGAGTATATATAGTAAGTAATATATATTAAGTCCCCGGCGATCTAGGTAAATACTAACATTTAAGGGTAATATTAATATATATATAATCTTAATATATAGTAAGTAGCCAGCGATCTCGGCGACGAGGGGGTATATATTAGGGGTATACTAATATTCGAGCGATATAAATATATATCTAACTTAATATATACTTTATCGGCCTATTACTCGGAAAAGGGGGTATATTTTACGACTATTCTTAATTAAAGCGATATATATTAGTATTCGAGTAATATATTAATAAATATACGGAAATATATCGGATTTACGGGTATCTATACGGAAATATTAAAGGAGAGAAGATATCTATTATATTTTATATTATTTATTAAAGGGAGGGGGTAGAATATATAGTATTTTTATATTATCTATTAAAGGGGGGTAAGAATATATTATATTTTAGGGGTATTTATTAAGGGGGGGCGAGAATATATAGTATTTTAATACTATATATTAACGGTTACCTAATATTATTTAAAAGTCGGCGCTATAATATCCCCTTACCTAAATTTTAGGATTTTAATATAGCGACGTAGCTAGTACAGTCCCGGGGACCCGGGCTACTAATATTCTATTTACGCTATAGTATATGTAATTACATAACATAACTACCAAAAAAGCGATATTATAGTACGCGGAACATGATTACTACGCCCTACTCGCCCTAATACTATGTTTACATGGCAAAATGGGTAGAATATGATGTTCGGCAAAATGTTGGCCTATGTTAAAAACAAGGGTCGACTCTGTATGGCATCGGTGATCGGGCATCGGCATGGCGGACATCCGTATCAAACCCCTCTCTCTACGTCAGAATCGGACCTCAGAATCGGACCTTAGAATCGATCGCATGGGACCCGTAGGAAGAGAGCATTGACTATCTTCCAACATATATAAACCCGTCCTCCCTTCCTCGTCCTCTTCCTCCTTCTCTTCTTCTTCACCCTCAGTCTTCCATGGCTGTTGGTCAAAACGGGGGGGTAGCTCAGTGGGTAGAGCGCAGCGAATTTGCCTTTCATTTATTTTTCATCCTGGCAGTTGGATCAGCGAAACGAAAACCTAAAATATGGATGGCACCTTCCTGAGGTCCTGGGTTCGAAGCCCAGTTCTCCCAACACACTGAGCCTGGGCTCGATGGACTTTGGTCTATCGAGTCCAGGCTCCTTTTTTTTGTAGGGCTACACAGTGCGAATATGAGTGCGAAGCTGAAGATTTGTGTGCTGGCGGCTGTTTGCACTGTCCACTTGTCACTGTACGCCAGAAGCTCATGAGGCCTCGACCAACATCACACGACGTCCATTGTCGCCCCTAAGATAAGCTTCCTTCGGATGCATAGCTTTCTCGATTGCTCGCCACCGACCCGTCCTCTCTTCAATGCTCTCCGGAGCCTCATCCGTAGCGATCGCCTGCCCTGCCGTGACGCCGTCAATGCGTTGGACACCATCAACGAACGAGCCCCCCGGAAGGAGGCCGACGACCTCGCGAAATCCGGGTTCCCATTTTCCATCAATCAACACGCTTTAACCATTTTCTCATTCAGGAAAGGGGGCGCCGTCTGCGTGTCAGATGTACAGAGGCAATCTACCGCGACAGCCATGCCCGGCCGCATTCTTATGGCTGGCCAGGATCTCCCGAGCTCGCAACTTTCAGTCATGCTCCGCCAAGGACAAACACTCGCCGAATGGCTACGACGACTGCTCCGGCTTAATTGGGCTGGTTCGCCATCTTCCGTGGTGTCCTCATTCGGGGCCCCGTCAGATCGGTCGTCATTCGTCGGCTCGTCGCCCGCCATGGCCGGGTCACTCCCGTGACAGGAGGACGATATAGTGCCTAAAGTAAAGGCCTGAGGAGCGACAACGGCATTGAGGTGCTGCGCAGGTGCCCGCGCCCGCCGTTCCTCCATCACACCTCCCGCGCAGTGCGCGGTAATCTAAACCCTCTTCTATGTGAATAGATTGGGCGAAAAAGTTCGAGAATCTGGGGCCCCGCGATTTCAGCTACCGGCCATGCAAGCCACTGCTCGGCACCGGTCCGTCGAGTCTGTCACCACCCCATTCGTCACACTGGCCCTCAGGAACAGGGAGGGAGGCATTCCCAATATGTGTGCCGCCTCGACTTGCCCAGGATCTAGGGATTCGGTCTCTTCTCGGACGAAGAACTGGTTGCGTACCTCGTGCTGAATATAGCATGGTGGCTCTCGTCGTGTATATAAGGCGACCGGACGCGCCCCCTTGTCTCCTGGGTAGCAGCAAGGCAACCTTGATACCAACCAGTCAACCGTCCTACCAGCCTCCATCATCACCATGAAGTTCTCTCTTGTCTCTGTCCTGGCCTGCGGGCTCGCCGTCGAGGGCCACACCATCTTCCAGGTATGTGAACCACTGAGGTACCCATCCTGGAGCAGTAACTGACTTGTCCCAGAAACTCTCTGTCAACGGCAAGGACCAAGGGCAACTGACAGGCATGCGTGCCCCCAACAACAACAACCCAGTCCAAGATGTCAACAACCAAAACATGATCTGCGGCCAGGGCGGGAGCAAGTCCAACAGCGTCATCACTGTCGCGGCGGGTGACCAGCTGGGCATGTACTGGGGGCACGTCATCGGAGGCGCACAGTTTGCCAACGACGTCGACCACCCCATCGCAAAGTCGCACAAGGGGCCAGTGATGGCTTACCTCGCCAAGGTCGACAACGCCGCCTCGACCGGCGTGACGGGCCTCAAGTGGTAAGCACCATCGCCTCCCCTCCAGCCGGGAGTCCAACTGACAGCAATCACAGGTTCAAGGTCTGGCAAGAGGGCTTTAACGTGGGCAGCAAGACCTGGGGCGTCGACACCATGATCAAGAACCAGGGCTGGGTCTACTTCAAGCTCCCCAGCTGCATCGCCCCGGGGCAGTACCTCCTGCGCGGAGAGACGTTGGCTCTGCACAGCGCCAACAAGCCGAACCAGGCGCAGTTCTACCAGTCGTGCGCGCAGATCAACGTCTCCACGGGCGGCTCCTTTTCGCCGTCGTCGACCGTCAGCTTCCCCGGCGCGTACCAGGCCAGCCACCCCGGCATCGCCGCCAACATCTACGGCCTGGCCGGCGCGACCGACAATGGCGGCAAGCCGTACCAGGTCCCGGGTCCCGACCCCATCTCGTGCTAGACGGGGCTTCTTTCTTTGTGTGGAGTCAGAGATCCATCTCCAGGGCAACGAGCTTGCTGCTGGTATCCGTACCCAAATAAGGGGCACCCCGGGAGAGGTGCGTTGAAGAATGCATGCAGCATGGGCACGCAGCGGGTGCACCTCCAGCTCCAGCTGGGGCTGCACCGTTTATTGTACATATATACCTACCTACCTACCTACCTACCTAGGTACTCACACATCATACCAATCCACGTTTGCGGCACCGACCGCGATGCGATGAAAGCTTGGCTCGCCGTACCTGATTGACGTTCGTGCCGCCGTCACGGCGACGTGTGGATGGGCTTGGCTCGGCAAGCACCGTTGCGGAAGCACCGCGCATGGAAGGCTCGGAAAAGCCGCATGTGGGTTTGGTTTGGCGAGCACACACACACACGCAAGGTCGAGCTGGAGCCTCGGTGGGACTCGGGACCGGATGGCGTGGAGGCGAACGCATGAGTAAGGCCGATGGGACGCGCAGGGACAAGCTCGGCATGTGTATGTCGCCTCGGGGCGAGCTTGGATCGAGTTTGAACTTTGAGATGCAGAGCTTCCTGTCCATGTCTGGACTCTGGGAGTTTGGATATCAAGTGAGAAAAGGCCAGAGCCGGCCAAGATCGCCACGGTAGAGATATTCCTCTCTCCAACTCTTGGTACCTCGGCGCCCCCCCTTCCCAGCCACGGTTGCAACGTCGCCGGCAGATGACTATTTCCGCGACAAGAGCCAGCCGAGCTCGACGCTCGTCGACGGGCATGATGCAACAGCAGCTCATGGCGCTGCGCACAGCGTACGATGCGGTACTTGTCACGGCGTACGGAATACATACACAGGGCCGTGCTGCGGTGGCCTTGCACGGGCGTCGTCCGACTCGAACTGGAAGTGCAAGCGATGCGACGAGATGGCTGCTCTGCTCTCTGCGACGCTGTCTCGCTGTTTGTCGTTGGTACCTATCCCCCAGCCCCGCCACCACAGCAGCAGCAAAACAGCGCATCACAGACCCCCAATCCTGCATTTCCCGTGCCGTCTGTCGTCGTGCCCGTCAAGAAAAAAAGCCCAGGCCGACCGTCCGCAGATCCCGTGTCGCCCCGTTGGTTTTTTCATCGTGGGAATTTCAAGGCTTTTCAGACTTCATGTCTCGGGGATATCGCGGATGATCGCAACCTCGACAAGTCTCCATCCCTCATCCAGGTCCCGGCGAATCCCGTCGCAGAGATTACACGCCCCGATGCTTTTTTTCGGCGAGGATCCGCTCGAGTCGTGCGCTCACATCATCGCATCCATCGTCCCTGCCGCTGCCGCGTCCTCGCCATACCCAGATTGCGGCGGCGGCGAGCAGTGGGCACTGACTGGCCACAGGGCACAGAGCACGCTCGCCCACGGGTGACAGTCGCCTGGCTCGCCCGGTTCGGGGCTCTCATGAAATTCGCGCACCGACCGGCCCCGACGCGCACCGAGTCGATGACCCCCCCCTCTCCCCCCCCTCAATCGTCAGCGGCACCAGCACTCATCCCTCATCCCCACCCCTGCCTCCCGTCTTCCGGTGGCCAAGACCAGGGCCAGGGCCAAGCTCTTGCGACTCTTGCAGCAGTCTTTCTTGGTCGCCGCTAAGCCTGTCTCGGCCCACCCGTCCATATTTTGTTTCCCTCGCTCCCACCCGTTGTTTCGGCGATTTCTCTTCCTTCCTCTCCTCTCCTTTCCCCTCTTCAACCTCACTGGACTCAATTCCCCTCAAGACACCAAAAGGAGAACTCGCCTCGACCGCTATCCTCAATCCTCGTCTGCCTCGTCTCGTGTTGTTCGCACCAGTCCCACTCCAAGCCTCCTCCTCCAACGCACGTACCTACCCATCTCTCCAAGTCCTTCAATTCGCGCGTGCGACACCATCTCCTCGTCATCTCAATCCGCTCCTCCCGACCTTTCTCTCCTCTCCAGGATAATGTAAGCCCTCACAGCTCCTGCCGCCCCGTCAATTGGCTTGCGCCTCCCCGTTCCCGCGACGCCGTCGCGAGTTGGTCGTCGAGAGCTCGCAGCGCCAAGCGCTCGAATGCCGATTGCCAAGACCACCGCTCGCGCGTGTTCGTGAAACACCCTCCCCTCACGGCCCGGTCGGGCGAACGAAACAAGACATGACAGCTGCTGTCTCCCCCCAACAACCCAACTTCCCTTTCCTTCTTGACTCGGGTCGATGAGACAACCCCCGCACCCACCACAACACCATACAATCCCCATTGTCCCGCGCGCCGCGCGCTAACTCTGAACCCGCAGTTCCCCCAACCAAAACTTCAAAATGGTCGCCATCGAGAAGTCGCTCGTCGCCCGCGAGGTGCTCGTGCAGCTCGCCAAGCGCGAGAAGAACTGGGCCGCCCGCGAGCCAGGCGTCATGGTGGTGTTCTGCATCGTCGGCGTCGTCGCCATTGGCCTCACGGCCCTCTTCATCTACAAGAAGATGGTGGCCCGCCGGAACATGAAGCAGAACATGCAGGGTTAGGGCGTCGTCGCCCGGTGACTGGTGGTTGGTGGTGTGGGGATGGTTTTAATGAGCGATGATGGCAAGGATTTATCGCGTGGTGGTGTTGGGACTCCGATGAAGTTTTACGGGGGGGAGGGAAACGAAACGACACAGGCTCGCTGCCACATTTCGACCATATGAGAACAATGCGCCATCACGAAAGGGACTGGGAACACTTGTCCTCGGCTGTCGACGCGACTTGGACCTGCGACGGTCGGCAGGATCGGATCGAAAACTCTTTACGACTTCAAAGGGGGGGTGGTGGTGGTGGGTGGCCGGCTGGTGATGTGTGGGAGGAGAGATTCATCAAGCTGGATTGAGAGACATTTTGATTGCCCGGCCGCAACTTGAGCGATTGAAGGGAGGGGGATGCGCCAGGCCGGGGACGGGAAAGAATGGGCGTGACAAACCAAGGGTCCTGTCGACGATCCGTTGCA